CCATGGTGATTGAGAGAGAGAAGCAGCAATGTTGAATTTTGGGGTTCTCTCTCCTAGCCTATAAGTCACTTGATATATGTGTTTCTTATGATATGACATTGTGATGCTCCAAAGCATACAATTTATAGGTGGGGAGAGGACCAAAATTCCTATTAAGTTTTATCTTTACACTTCATCTCAACCATCCATCATGGAAGAGTTACAATAGGAACATAACTCTTTGGAGTTATTAATCTTTGATAACTCTTTATTCTTATAACCAATTAAATCAAATGTAACATTCCTATTCCTTTCATAACTCATGAGTTTCATAATAGATCATATTAAGGATGAGATAACTATCTTGCAGTAAAAGTTATTTTACAGTTCATGCCTCTCTTTCTCTCTCTTTTGAACCTCAAAACCGAGGGGTGGGATAAGGTTGCAGGAGATCTACTTCATCCTTCCACAAAGCCATCCAAAATCTCCTTATTCATTTAATTGTCTGTACAATGGTGGCTACGTGGTGGCTTTTTAGTTTAGCTTGGGAAGTGGAGTTTTGCATGTTTAAGAATGAAAATAAAGGCTCTAGGTGATAGCTCAATTCCTCTGCCTTTGAGGAACTGATTCGGTTTACCCTACCACGATAAGTTTGGCCAGTCACTACACTCCTACAGTTAACCAAATTCAAATACAGGTTGGCACGAGTGAGGGAAATGGTACCACAGCAATATAATTTCTATTTTGATGGTAATAATTATGATCCACTACAACCATTTTCGCTTATTGTGACAACAACATTTTGTCATATTAGGACCAACTTTTGTCAAAATATCTGTATTGTGACAAAATTATTTGTCATAACGTTCGTCAAAACTACCTCGCCGAAACAACTTTATTATGACAAAAATTTTAGGTCACAATATGTTTTGATGGCACAATGGCTGATTTTTGTCATTATATGACCCCCCATTGTGACAAAACTATTTGTTGAAATAAGGTAAAATTTTGTCATAAGAAGGGATGCTTTTGTCACGATAAATACCAAATTGTTCCATGTTATTGTGACAAATTAGCTATTGTGATAAACAATTTTGTCATAATAGTTCGTCGTAATAGTTGGCTTGTCATTACTTTGTTCGTCACAATAGTGGTTTGAGATCGTCTGTAACATCCCGTTCCGGCAAAACCCATATTTTGATCGCTAGAAAGTTCATGATTTAAAATCGAGCGTTTTGATAGTATTTCGATGAAAATTGGATAATCGATCCATCGGATAAGTATATGTATATATATATATATATGTGGCAAAGGCTAGCGTACGCATGGACGTACCCTAGCTTACCGTACGCCCGTTGAGTTTTGCTATTTAGACAATGAATTAACCGGAGTTCGGGGCATGATATTATACGCTAACCCCTAATGGGTAAACCCTAGTCCGCAATTCACTAACCCAAAGCATAATATTCATTTAATCTTGAAATGAAAATCAACGGTTCTGATTTGTCGAAATTATTGTTGATTTTCATTTCAAGATTAAACGAATCTCATGATTTGGGTTAGAAAACTAGGGACTGGGGTTTATCCATTAGTGGTTAGGGTATAGTATCATGCCCAAAACTCCGGTTAATTCATGATCTAAATGGCAAAACTCAAACGGGCGTACGGTAGTCTAACGTACGCCCAGGCGTACGCTAGCGTAAACCATATTATATATATATATATATATATATATATGGTGACTTCTACGGTGCCCAGGGCAAAATCCGGGTACGGGTACCTTGGCCGATCTTAACCATTCGTTTTCAATCTCCACGGCTCACGTTTGTTAAACCTTCATGCTCCACTAAATAACTAAACAAATTACAAAAATGCTCCTGCCGCGTTAAGTTTGTTTTCATCCTAGCCCAACTAACTGCCCCGATTAAATTAAATGGATTAAGACTGCAAACCCAATTGGGTAGACCCACTGCCGCCCTAACCAATTTCCAGTCTCCCTAACCAATTACACGATCCCTATCTCGTCTTGGAGGGACGCCCCTTCACAGTTCCAAGAGAAGCTCTCCATCCAATTTGAACTCCCCAACTTAATCATTTTTTTGAATCCCAATTACTTGCATCCACATTCGACGTATATTGAATTTCCCAATTTATTTTGTCTTGTTCCTTCTTCGCCATTTTATTTCCCCTCGCCTATCTCTTTCTAACACGATTACGGCGACCATGTCTATTATTGTGTTCATCAAACTTTTCATTTGCAAAAGAACCCTTGAAAGAGGTTTGCTAACCCTAGGGTTCATGTCGCTAGTGCTTTGTCATCTTGTCTTAGCGTTATTTTGATTTTCTCGAACCTTATATCTCTCGGTGAAATTTAGGTTTCCTGATATGTAGTGTTCGTCTCGCCCAGAGGATTGAGCAAGAAGATGAAGAACACATAATTTGATTCGAATCGGATGGAGAGGTCTCCTTAATTTGTGTTTATGTATTAACGGTGCATTTAGGAGTAATTCTAGTTGGACTGGATCTGATCATTGATTTTTGCAGGCTTTTAAATAACATTCAAATGTGGGCTTGTACATGACCCATGCAATATTCAAAAGTGGGTCTGGAACGTGCGAGCCCATTTGTTTTCTCCTGCCGTATCAATTCGTGCGCCAACCCTAGTTTAACTAGCTTTACTTACCCTAGTTTAACCTACACTAGTTACCATCATCATTACTACATATCTTCCGAAATCTTCTAACTCTTGACATTCCAGACTCAACCGTCTCCACACTCAACCCCCACGATCACTTTTTCTTACACCTACATTCTCTCTTTCCTCCATCTTCACCTTCCCTTATTCCTTCTTCCTCCAGACTCCATGGCAAACAAAGGTAAATCGTTTGCAGAAATGGGGATACTATCTCTATCAAATGAAGACTGCCGATCCACCGCAAGTCTCGGTGACTATCTTTCATTTACAAGCAAAACAGCAATTGTGGCCGAGTACGAGTTCATCCACCTAAGTCCTTTCCCTCAAGAAGTGAAGAAGTTAATAAAAAATCTTGGCTGGGAAAAGTTCTTTGATCTCCGGAGTCGAGGAAGCACCAGTTACTGCCCGCATGTGGTGAGGAAGTTCTACCACAATTTAGAGCTTTCTGGTCCCTGTGATTCTCGTGTCGATCTTCCTGAGACATAGAGTCTGCTTCCAGCCTCATCAGTTTGCTGAGATCCTCGATCTCCCCGCCGGAGGACACCCCATTGAGAGCAGAAGCGATCTTGGGCGGCTGTACGATTTTGAGTTTGAAGTTGAACTGGCGAAACTCACGAAGGGGCGCATCCAGGCTTCTTTCCTCCCAGATCCTCTTCGATTCCTCCACTGGATGATCGTCAACTGCTTCATGCCAAGGTATCGTGGTCATTCGATTATTCGTAAACTTGACCTGTTTATCCTTGTGCAAGCTCAAAGAGGTGTTCCTGTTAACCTCGCATCTCTCATGTGCCTGAACATGGTTGAGGCTGCTCCTAGAGGGGAAAACTGGTACACTGCCTTTCCATATGCCACCTTCGTGACCACCTTTCTTGAAAGGGTTGGGATGGATATGGGGGTTTATGTTAAGGAGGACCAGTGCGCTTATTTGCCAGTGTACCGTATAGCCGAATTGACCAATACTTTTATTGACCTTCGCCATACGGAGCATGAAGAGACCCCTGAGGCCTCCTCAAGCAAACCTCCTCGGATTACATGAGAGTCGATTGATGCAGGGCGGGGTGGAGCGTTGGAGCAGCAAAGGGGCCAGCAATGGATGTCTTCTGTTAACAAGTTTCCTAAGGCTTTGTTGGTTTTTTTTTCCAGTCTTTTGTCTTTTCCTTAATTCTCCAGCACTCAAAACTGTCAGGTACTGAGGGGAGCCAGTACATCATCTGACTAGGAAAGTCTCCCATTTTTTGAATTGTCCAGACCAATATTTTTTTATGCATGCAGTATTTTGTGAATTTGCCATGGCTAAGTTCCCTAAGACAGGTGACGAGATGCAGTAATGGTCATCTCCAATGGTGCAATTTTTGTGACTTGCAAGATAATGTGGCAAGGAGGTGCAATTGCATCTCTAAATTACTATGATGTGAGAAGCTATTGCAAGGGTGCAAATTTGCTTGCAATTGAAATTGGCCCACGAGTGGGGACTATTGATGAAATTGCAATGTTTTCTCAAAAATATAGAAGTGGAAGTAGGGACTACCTATGAAATTGCAAATGAATTTCATTGGGGGAGATTTTAATCCGCTTTTGTTCTAAGTAGTTCCAATTAGGTCGAAGAGTGTGTTACTTATTTCATCTTCATTTTTTAATGGTTTTCGAAAATTATGGTTTTATTTATATTTGGTCACAAGTATAGTGACGATGATAGGCGTGAATAGTATGGATATGGCTTGATTATAATGATTTTTTTATCTATGGTGATTTTTTCCCTTTTTCATCAAGACTCATGCTTCTTTTATTCCCCCGGTGAATCTATCATGCTTCGTTTATAGTAAAATACCCTTTTAATTATACACAATAAAGAATCCATTAATTATGTATGCCTTTTTATTGTATTTATTACTACAATGAATTCTCTCACTAAAAAGGGAGTGAAAACATCGTTGGTGGAAATTCAAGGAATGGAAGCCTTTCCATATCCTAGGAACATTAAATTAATTACATAAGAATTTTCTATCTGCCTTGTACGGGGTTTGGTCATTAATTATACTGATTGGGAGCCAATCAGTTTTACCTTTTGGGTTAACTATACATGAATGCAAATTTAATTAGACGAGGGCAATTGGGAACAAAGTGGAATGATATGATCCCATTAAACCTCTCTACAAGATACAATGGCTTGAACGAAGCAACCTCACTCACAAGTTGGAAGCCGAAATTTTGGTGAAGTCCCTTTGCCATTTCCATGAAACAACAAACCAAACCAAACCAAACCAATTAACCAAACCAAACCAAAAGCCAAATATAAAAAGCATTCACAATACCAAAAACCAAATACATAAAGCATTCACCAAACCAAAAACCAAATATAGAAAGCATTCACCAAACCAAACCAAAAACGGTTGTCCATCATCTTTAGGAAAAAAAAACATAACAGTTGTCCATCATCTTGAAAACAAAAACGCAAAATCAGGTTGTCCTCGGGCTCTTTGACTGGGTTTCCTTGTGCTCTTCTCTTTCCTTTTTCCTCCTTTCATGGGCTTTTTTGTACTCTTCCACTGCAGCTTCAACTTGAGGTGCAACTGTTCTTGCTTCCGTGAGCACCATATGTCTTATGTAGTTCATGGGCTCTTGAACAAGGTACAAAGTGATCTGCATCCTCCTCACTTGAGTGCATGGCTATCAACATCAACAAACATGGTGCTTAATGCATGATTCAAAAATAACAATCAAGTGTGGTTTTCTAATATGCGAACTAGAATTGTCTTTACCAAAATATAAGAGGAGTCCCAGCTTGCGCCATACATCCACATGCAGACCCAGACTCCACTGTCAGACCTACATAAAATAAAAGCATTGCGTGATAAGAACCAAGTTGATAAGTCGTCGTTTAATATCACACAAAAATGGGCATACTTACTGATAAACCGTTAATTGCACATGTTTTCACCCCTATTCTGGAGCCGTTTGAGGTGTTGATTCTCGTGTTTTAGGCCGATTTCACGCTAGGTTGTGCTTGTTTGTGATATTTCAGGTCCTAGTACGTGAATGAAGGTTTGGGAGCGAGTTCGGCGTCGATTGGACGAAGATCGGACGTACGGCGAGTCGATGAGGAAGCCACACGGGCACAAATACAACCCACACGGCTGTGTGAAGGAGCAATGTGGCCGTGTGGGATTATGCGAGGCTTCACACGGGCAGACTGGGTGAGCCACACGGCCGTGTGTCTCGGGCCGTGTAGGTAGCCTAAAGTGCAATTATTGGAAACGCCGCGTTTTGACCTCACACGGGCATCTGGGTATGCCACACGGCCGTGTAGCCTGCCCGTGTGATCGGGATTTTCTGGTTTTTACCCAATTTTGGGCCACAAGTGAGAGAATCGACTTTTGAGAGCAAAAACAGAGCCCTAGAGAGAGAAAGTGCGAAGAACACATCCTAGAAGCAATCTTGGAGCTGGGTTTCATCAAATTGAGCTTGGAGATCGTCATAGGAGTGGAAATCATCATCCCAGAGCAGATTCTTCCCATTGTTATGAGTTTGATTGTAATGACTTGGGATGATTATACTGTTTGGTTTTAATCGAATGATGCATGTTTTATTGAATTGATTGAAGTCTGATCAGCTTTTCTTGATTTCTGCTGCAACCTGAGATAGATAGAATCTGATTAGGTTGTTAGAGCTTCTTCCCTCGGTAGTAAGAGATTGGCTATACGAGAGTTAGCCAATTTACTGCTTTGTACTGGAATCCAATTCCAGTAGTGGAGTTCTGTGCTTATTGCTTCAGCTTTCTATACCGGTGAAGACTAGTCGTCTGCTGGGTAGTTAGACTGAGGGGGCTTGGTCAGCTTAAGAGATTCCAAGCTGCTGTCGGATCTTCCGCAGTCTAATCAACAGTAAATCAACCCAGGGTAATTACAATTGAGACCTAACTAAAGAGCTAAGGGGACTCATTCCCGAGTGACTCTTCTTTGCTTGAGAAAACCGTACCAATTCCTGCTTTCTTACTGCTTTTGCTTAAGACAACAATCACTTGACTTAGTTGGCTAGATAATAGATAATCACGGAGTAGGCAGTAGATCTAGACCCCGGTTTGATAATAGAACTTGCCACTTTACTGCATTCCCGGACTGCGATTACACTTGGTCGCAGTTTGATGTTGTGTTTTGGCGTGTCGAAGTTTTTGGCGCCGTTGCCGGGGAACCTCTAGGTTATTGGGGAAACGTGAAAATTTGTTACTCTAGCTTTTTCTTTATTGCATTTTATCTCTTCCACCTGTGTGCCTTCACGGGTTGCTTCTGCTAATTGTGTGCAGGTAGTGCATGACCCGTAGCCAGTCGGGAGATCTACTACCATTATACCAGGAGCTTGAACGAACCTGCAGGAACTTCAAGCGGGCTCTAAAGGCGCGACTGGCTGCGGAAGAAGAGCTAGCACAGCTGCAGATCAAAGAAGAAGAAGAAGAAGAAGAAGAAGAAGAAGAAGAAGAAGAAGAAGAAGAAGAAGAAGAGATGGGGGATCCACAGGACCATGATGTGGTCCTTCCCGAGGAGCAGACCATGGGATACTACTGGACCGCCAGGGCTGCGTACATGAGGTCACCCATTCAATACCCTCATGTCCCAGCCAACAATTTTGAGGTTATCACCTCCGTCATCACCATGCTGTGCGGTTCGGTAGTGTTCCGAGGCAAAGAGGGGGAGTGCCCCCGATCACATCTCAGGCGATTCCACGAGCTCATCGATGGAATCAAGATAAATGGGGTCCCAACAGATGCCATCCAGCTGAGGTACTTCCCGTTTACTCTGGAGGGGCAGGCCAAGGAGTGGCTAAACACTCGACCTCCAGGATCTATCACCACGTTCGCCAACCTGGCGGACAAGTTCCTCACCCGCTATCATCCTCCGTCAAAAACGGCGGACTTGCAGAAGCAGATCACCCACTTCATCCATGATGAATATGAGACCATCCGGGACACCTAGGAGCGATACAATAGTCTCTTCCTGAGGTGTCCCAATCATGGTTTCAACGATGCTTTCAAGGTGGACACCTTCTATCACGCCCTCTTCCCTCGGTTTGTGGCGGGAACATGCTGACCAAAACACCGCCACAACTAAATCAACTCTTTGAGGAGATGGCAGAGAACGGGTATGATTGGGGAACTGCAAGGAGATCGAGACGAGCACCAGGGTGGGGTGTGCCTTCTGTAGCCACCCAGTCATCTGATTTGGTGCAGGTGGTGTCGAAGCTGGTGTCAGCCATCGATCGCTCTGGGATGATTCCACGGACCGGACAGCAGCAGGCGATGCTCTGCCAGTGGTGCGAGAGCACCCATCACACGGTGGAAGACTGCCAGGCGATGAAGGAATCGACCACACCCCAGGAGCAGGTGAACTTCATCAATAATGTTGGGCGAAATGACCCCTACAGTAACACCTACAACGAGGGGTGGCGCCAGCATCCCAACTTCTCCTAGGGTGGGGCAAATTCCAGACCACCAGTCCCACAGGGACCACCTGGCTTCCAGAGGCCTCCGTACCAGCCCAGACAGGGGCAATTCCAGCAGCAGGAGAAGCAGTCTCTCTACCAGCCAATGCAGGGGCATGCGGCTCAATCACAACCGCGACCTTTCCAGCAGCCAGGTGCAGCCTCTGCCACCCAAGTGCAGAATGATCCGATGGCTGAACTGCGGGACTTGGTGGGTTCTCTCGCCAGTTCTAGTGCTCAGAAATTCAACACTATCGAGCAGTTCATGGAAAAGGCCTCGGGTAAATTCCTGGCTCTTGAAGCTGGCCAGAGGAACACACAGGCTGTCTTGCAGGATATCCAAACCCAGCTGGGGAGCGTGGCTCAAGTAGTGGCGCAAAGGGCTCCGGGTACCTTGCCAAGTCATACCATTCCCAATCCGAAGGACCCGAATGCCCACTGCAATGCCATCACAACCAGGAGTGGCAAGATGACTGCTGATCCACCTGTTCGGGCACTAGAGAGAGATGCCCCTGCCTCGGCATCTCCAGCGGCTGAAGAAGAAGCGGAGCAGGAGGTTGAGTTGCCTGCGCCTAAACTGCAACCAGTAGTGAAGGAGTATATCCCTCAACTCCCCTTCCCTACTCGGTTACACAAAGACAGGCTGGAGGCAGAGTTCGGGAACTTCATGTCCATGCTTAGGAAGCTGAATGTCCAAGTATCTTTCCTGGAGGCACTATCTCAAATGCCTAAGTATGCGAAGTTCCTGGAAGATCTTCTCTCAAAGAAGCAGAAGCTGAGCGAGCTGGCCACTGTGGAGCTCAGCGAGGAGTGCTCGGCCATTCTACAGAACAAGCTTCTGCCGAAGCAGAAGGACCCAGATAGTTTTACTATCCCTTGCTCTATAGATAAATTGCATGTAGAGAGGTCCTTGGCGGATCTAGGTGCTAGTATCAATGTTATGTCGTATAAATTGTTCCAGAAACTAGGCCTAGGTAAACCCCGTGCTACTAGGATGAGCCTTCAATTAGCTGACCGATCTATAGTTCATCCTAGGGGCATAGTGGAAGACCTTCTGGTTAAGGTTGGCAAATTCTTTTATCCTGTGCATTTTGTTGTCTTGGACATCAATGAGGACACAGAAGTGCCCCTTATACTGGGAAGGCCTTTCCTAGCCACCGCCAAGGCTCTCATAGATGTGCACGGAGGCAGGGGAGGATGCCGTGGTGGCGGATGATAATGGAAGGGCGCAGATCCCCTGTTTAGTGTGGCTGCTCCGGTGGCCGAGGAATGGGAGTGGAAGAGGAGAGTGATGAAGAGAAGAGACGGTGAATCCGCCGCATCTGTTTGTCATTTTTTCTGTTTTATTAATTTTACTTTATTGCGAAAATGAGTTGGAAATGGAAAAGGATTAAACTTTATTTTAATAATTATTTTTTAATTGCCATGTCATTAAGTTAACGGTCAACTTTGAGACAATAACGTTTAACTAATTTTAGTGACCACAAATGTAATTAATTAACGTGACACTTTTTAGTAAACTCAATTTTTTAGTAAACTCAATGACCAACCGTGCAATTTACCCCTTTTTTAAATATTTCTATTTGTGCTTGTAAACTCTGGTCTAACGAGACTAAATGGCGAGGCTTGTATCGAAGCTGTTAAAGTTTCTTAGTTGGCTACGTTTCCTAACACTGCTGAGTGCTGATGACTTGGACTCGACTGTCACACCTAAATCATATTTCACCGTACATTAGCAACGCATGAGGAAACAAGAGGCAAACACAGAAGTGAGAGGGGCATTGTCTCGCCCACAAGGAACTAATATCCCCAAAAAAGAAGCGAATATTAACCCTCGAAGAGAAATTCCGGACAACCTTTGACAATTATTAGCAAAATAGATTAACAGAGCTCGGTCAGTATGATTTTCCGCAATGTATCAAGCTTCCTGCTCCCAAGAAGAGACCGAAAATTGCAGCACTTCCAACTGTAGTTTGCCCAATGTACCTAATTTTCAAGAGTCCCGGCACCTACACACACAGATTCAAAGCTCGACGCAATAAGAAACCTTCAAGGGTTGCAAACTAACCGCATTACCGAATTCAGCACTAACTGTTGACAAACATAAGATTCAAGATAATAATTCAGGGCCAAGACGGAATAAACTCGGCATATGAACATGACGACATCTTTCCAAGATAGTGCATAGTGAGAAATGTTCATTTAATTTAATCATCTCACAATGCCCCCTAAAATGGTTTCTCACAAACGGGTTGGAGAGTTCCAATCTCATATAGTCTGCAGGCAATGTGTCCACTTTCTCACCTACAACAAGAACTAAACGCTAATGTAGCTCACACACGAAGAGGTTTGAACATCGAATTGAGTAGGCAATAAATATGAAGCCCCTATTCCATCTGGTTGGTTGCAAACCGACAAGAGCTTACCTTATGCCTAATGGCCTCATAAGTTCCATAAACAGCACCTGCAAAACAAACCATCATTGAGAATGTCAGCAGCAACTTGAAACATCCATTGGACACACCCACTGCCGTCCTTCCATAATCTCGAAAACTCTCAGGCTCACAGACCAATGGGTACTAATCATGCAATAAGAACTGTCATTCAATATCCCATTCACCACCGAATCCAATCGAAGCATCAGCATTGCCAGAAACATTCGAATGTCAGAATTATATTATAGCAACCCAACCAAGACTCACAGACCACTTGAGTGACACGGTTAAGTTACAAAGAAACATTCATGATTGTCAGACTAGTACTAGAATCTAGAGCTGAAGTCCGCTGATTAAACAAGCAACGAAAAGTTGATTCAAAAACGTATTTGAAGGGGTTAGTCATCCTTATAAAGCAGTGTAAGGTCCCGTCTGTCAGTAAATCGATCCCTATTGTGATTTCCAGTTACAGATTGTAAGGAATAAACGCTACATAAGGAATTTCACAGGCAGGACATGTTTAAATTTCATCCCAGGACCATTCTCAGTAGTACTCACCTGAAAAAAGCCAAGCATAATTACGAAAAGCTTACTCCCCTCTCCCGAACACAAACCAGAGCATAACGAGAAGCATCGGAACAAATTCCACAGGAAAAACAAATCGAGCGAGTTCAGGAAGAGCTAGAAATAAACAGAAACACCCAATTCTTATTTCTCAAGCAATATAGCATACTCTGCTAAATACAACTGAGAATCGAGCAACTGTAACTTACCGACAGCCCCGCCGACAGCACCGCCAACGGCGACACCGGCAGTCACACGAGCCAAGCAACTATCTCTTGCCATTTCGTGACCTGAAACGCTCTACTTGATCTCCAAAGTTGACACCTTCTTCAACCTCCCGCTATCAAACCTCGTTGGATGGCAGTCCGATCAATTTCACTGCCCAAATCGACGCTTTAGGGCAACAGAGTTCAGACGATATATGATATGAGAAGACCAAGGGAAAACCTTATTGGGCCGAATTATTCGGAACTGGTTATTTTTCCGTTGGGCAAACATATTGGGCCGAAAATGTAAGCCCATATGTTAAGTTTTTTTCCGCAAAATTTATTACGGTTTCGGAATTCGGATTAGGTGAGGAGAGGACTGAGCAGGTCTCTCGTTATTTGCAACGAATCGAGAGGTCAATAAAATCTATCAGCCGGAGGAGAGTCGCCCCCAGGGACCCCGTTTCCGTCGACCGCCCACCGTTTTCCGGCCAGACAGTGAGCAGAGCTGAATTTTTTTCACGGTTGCAGCATCAAGAGAACGTAGAATTTGAACCAACAGGGTCAATTAGGATCTAGGAGTTTCCCGTCTCCGTAATTTCTTCCTCCTCGCATTTCGCTCCTCCGGCGACAATGGACAACGAAGTGGATCCGTTTCCAGGTCACAAGCGCTGCGGTTACCTCTGCGCTGTCCTCGTCGCTCCCTCGTCGGCGGATCCCCTTGCGTTTCTCTCTCCCTGCCGCCTTTTCGCCGACGGCAATCGCGTCGGTTTCGTGACTGAGCAGCACAACGTTTTTCTGTCAATGGTCTCAGATTCCAGAATTGAGCCGCAAGTAACTACTTCAGGTGCAGGGGCGGTTGAGGAGACAGAAATTGGATCCAAAGGCGGGGTTACGAGGCGGAATGAGAGTTCGGGAAGGAGGAAGGGCGGCGGCAAAAGTAGCCGCAATGTGTCAGGGAAGAAGAGGAAGGTAGTTAGAGGGATCGGAATGGTGAATGGAAGCTTGAGCGTTGTGCATCAAATTCATGCTCTTGTGACTCACAAGTGTATAAAGACTCAGGCGCGGGTATTGCAGTCCGAAGTGCGGGAGATTGGCGGCGAGGAGAGGTTGGTGGTGCTGGTGGACGTGTATCTGCCGTCTGAGGTGTGGTCCGGGTGGCAGTTCCCCAAGTCTGGGCCGATAGCCGGTGCTCTCTTCCGGCACTTGAGGTTTGTGCATCGATCGTTATTTCTTGAGATTACTTCAATTCTACGTCAACACTGGACGAGGCCGTCTGTTTCCTCCGAATTTAGTATGAAAGATGCATAAATCTAGTTACTTAGTTTCTCTTTCATGTTAGTCAGTTTCGAATTATATGTCTTTCAGTACAGTTTCTGCAGTTAGCTTTTAGTCGGGCTGGCTAACACATTTCAGTCTGCAGCTCTGATTGGACGAAGAGAAGTTGGATGCTTGCCAATCGAGGAGCATTATCTGAAGATAATGGTATTTGGAATGTCTCTCCTTGTCATGCTCTTGACTGCAAAGTACACTGCGATATCTCTGATTCTCTTAAGAAGAAGAAGTTTAAACTGCATGAAATCTTTGCTAGTTTGCCTAGTTTGGGAGGCAGGGAAAACTATGGTTCTTTGAGTCTGAAACCAGCAGATGATTGTCATGATTCTGGTATTTGGGATGTTGCTGAAGATGTATTGATAAACATTTTATCACTTCTTGGTCCATTGGATCTTGTTAGAGTCGCTGCTACTTGTCATCGATTGAGATCATTGGTGGTATCTATCATGCCGTGCATGAAACTTAAATTATTTCCTCACCAGCGTGCTGCTGTTGAGTGGATGTTGGAGAGGGAGCTGAATGGTAGAGTATCCCCACATCCTTTTTTCATGAAATTTTCAACTGAAGACGGGTTTACATTTTGTGTAAACACTGTCTCTGGTGAATTAGTGTTAGGGGAGGCTCCCACTGTAAGGGACTTCCGTGGGGGTATGTTCTGCGATGAACCTGGCTTGGGAAAGACCATAACTGCTCTTTCACTTATTCTTAAGACACAAGGAAAAATGGCAGACCCGCCAAATGGAGTGCAAATCACGTGGTGTACACATAATGATGATCAGAGTTGTGGCTACTATGAGCTTACTGGTAACAACCTTGCTTCTATGAGTACACCATCTGGGAAAAGTCTTGCGAGCCAGAGTGCTCGCAGGGGTCAATTATCTTTGGATGAGGTCACTCCTATTAGTGATGTGTCTTATCCCCCCAATAAAAGAAGAAGATTATTTGATACTGTTGAAACACTATCAACAATATCTCCCATGTCCGGAATCATTGGGCAGCCTTCTAGATGCACCAGAAGCATGAGTTCCGCTAAGAAAAATCTGTTATTTGCTTATGGGGAAGGATCCGGTGTTTCTTCCAAAACGAAGGCAGATAAATTGAAGAAGAGGAAGCATGCAAGTAACTCGCTTGTGAGCTGTGTAAAGAGTGCTGCAGCAAATTGCCCTATGTCTAATGAGACTTGGGTTCAATGTGATTCATGTGGAAAGTGGAGGAAGCTTCCAGCTTCCATTAATACTCTGGGTGCTGCATGGTTCTGTAGTATGAATACTGACCCCACACATCAAAGTTGTAAAGATCGTGAGGAGTTATGGGACAAATCTGCATCTGTGACAGAAATGCTTGGGTTTCACAAGAGAGCAACTTCTGGGGCAAAAGACCAAAACATTTCATTTTTCATTAGCGTTGTCAGGGAGCACTGTTCAGCAATGAGCTCAAAAACGAAGAAAGCATTGATGTGGCTGGCTAAACTTCCTATGGATAGACTCTCTTTAATGGAAACTGTTGGATTGGCGAGCCCAGTTCTAGGATCTGGTGCTGGAGATGCTATTGCTTTCCATAAAATCTTTCAAGCATTTGGTCTTGTAAAGAGGATAGTGAAGAATGTTACTAGGTGGTATTACCCTCCTAATCTTGACAGCTTGATATTCGATTTGGGTGCTCTCAGACTTGCTCTCTGTGAACCACTCGATTCCATGAGGTTATACCTGTCGAAAGCAACTCTTATCGTTGTTCCAGCAAACCTTGTAGATCATTGGAGAAATCAAATCCAGAAACATGTCGAACCTGGGCAGCTGCGGGTCTGCATTTGGACAGATCATAAAAGGCCTCCTGCCCACATTTTGGCTTGGGATTATGATGTTGTTATTACAACGTTTAGCCGTTTAAGTGCTGAGTGGGGCCCAAATAAACAAAGCCCTCTGATGCAGGTGCATTGGCTCAGGGTTATATTAGATGAAGGACACACTCTCGGATCTAGCCTGAATCTAACAAACAAACTGCAGATGGCAATTTCCATAATGGCTTCCACTCGTTGGTTGCTAACAGGAACGCCAACATCTAACATTCCTAATAGTCAGCTCTCGCATCTCCAGCCAATGCTTAAGTTCCTACATGAGGAAGTCTATGGGCAAAATCAGAAGTCATGGGAAGCTGGTATCCTTAGACCATTTGAGGCAGAGCAGGAAGAAGGTCGCCTTCGTTTATTAGAATTGCTACGCAGATGCTTGATCAGTGCTAGGAAGAAAGACTTAAAGAATATTCCCCCTTGCATGAAGCAAGTAATCTTCCTCGACTTCAATGAGGAACACGCTAGAAGCTATAATGAATTGGTGGTTACTGTCCGACGGAACATCTTGATGGCTGACTGGAATGATCCATCACATGTTGAGAGTTTACTCAATCCAAAGCAATGGAAGTTTCGAAGTGCAACTGTTAGAAACGTCAGGCTGTCTTGTTGTGTGGCTGGACATATTAAAGTGAGTGATGTTGGTGAGGATATTCAGGAAACAATGGATCTCTTAGTTGGAAGAGGTCTTGATCCCATTTCCGAGGAGTATGCCTTGATAAAGTATTACCTTCAGTATGGCGGCCATTGTCTCAGGTAAAACTTTATCACCTAATATGTTTTATTGTATGCCCTTGAATCAATGCATAATACATTCATAGTGATGTCTCGTTTTTTTTAACTTCTCACTGTGGAACTTTGGTTTTAAAGATGCAAAGAATGGTGTCGTCTACCTGTCATCACACCATGTAGGCATCTTCTGTGCCTTGGATGTGTCGCTTTAGATAGTGAAAGGTGTACTTCTCCAGGATGTACTTATTTATATGAGATGCAAACTCCTGAGGTATTAACCCGTCCAGAAAATCCAAATCCCAAATGGCCGGTCCCTAAAGATCTAATTGAGTTGCAGCCGTCATATAAACAGGTGGGTTCTCAGTCAACTTGAATTCAGATGCTCACTATGCTGTCTATTTTTGGTAAAATACGTTGTTACCAATGACCGTTTCGGAATTTAAATGCAGGATGACTGGGATCCAGATTGGCAATCAACATCAAGTAGTAAAGTAGCTTACTTAGTGCAGAGGCTGAAAGCTTTGCAACAGGCTAATACGGACAGCAGGCTCTGTATTCACAAGACTAGCGATGAGTCTGAGATGAGTAGTTCAACTGGAGTAGTGCAACAGGAAGATGGCCAACAGAATTCTACAGCTTATAAGATTATCCAAGACAAAGTGATTATATTTTCTCAATTTCTAGAACATATACACGTCATTGAACAGCAGGTATTTTGTTACTTACTGTTTCTGTTACATTATTCTCAATGATTTATACCAGTGCGAGGTGTTGGTTTTGACCATTGCTGTAAATTTCATAGCTGACATTGGCTGGCATCAAGTTCACTGGACTCTACAGCCCAATGCATTCTCACAACAAGGTATTCGAGTATCCGCGTTTCCCTCATCTCTCTCCCTCTCCCTCTCTCGCACTCTCTCTCGCTCCTGGTGTTGCTAATCATTCATCCTGTGCTCATTCAGGTGAAATCACTGGCCACATTCCAGAACGACGCGGACTGTATGGCTCTTTTAATGGATGGAAGTGCTGCATTAGGCCTCGACTTAAGCTTTGTCTCGCATGTGTTTCTAATGGAACCAATCTGGGACAGGAGGTAAAATGAACCCCTAAACTGTAATCACACACACTTATGGCGTTGCAAGCACATTTTTCCTAATTTTAAGAGAGCTTCGCTTCCTCCAAGGGAAGACATAAAATGGTTGGACCAAATTTTTTAGGTTAGCTTCTAATGCACTATAGCTTTCAAATTCCACCAGCATGGAGCAACAGGTGATCAGTCGGGCTCATCGAATGGGCGCCACTCGCCCGATTCATGTCGAAACTCTGGCAATGCGTGGAACAATCGAAGAGCAAATGGTGGAGTTCCTTGAGGTTCGTCCTTCCACCATATTAACGACTCGTTTTTTGCTATCACTTTCCAAATGTGTTTTTTGGGCATATATCCACATGTTTTCTATTTAATGATATAAAGAACAAACTAGTAAAGGGTTGCTGGAGTATGTTATTCTTCCTTGTATTGCTGAGGAATCATATTTCTGTGCTTTTCCACTAGGGCACTAATAACTCGGAGGACATAGAAGAAGAAATTGATAGGCCAAACCAGGAGTTTGCAGAGTGCAACTATTTGGCAAGGCTGACATTCGTTCGCACGGCGTCTGCCTGCTAAATCTTGAAAGAAGCAAGCAGCCTTTGATATTCCTCACTGTAACATAGGGACTATAGATGTAGTGATTGCAGGTTTTGCCTCTTCCCTATTCTGTTTGTTGTAAGATCACAAAAAGGAAATGGTGAGAGTAACGCAGCATTCGGCGGCCGGAGCCCTCAAACTCTCCGAAGAATACATCAAGACCAGACAGAAGAGGGTTGCAATTTGTTTTTACAGGAGCAGAGCCTTGTTTCCCCGTGATGAGGCAAAATATGAAGAAATGACAGTTAGAAAGAGTGAGCCTTTACTTAACTAATACCTGGCCTCTGAGACTGAGACAAATTTTGCGTTGTGCACGTAATGAGCTAAGCCTTCTTTCCCCAAGCTGACAGCTTGGTTTCTCGTCCTTGGGGACTTGGTACTGTTGATACTCTAGCCCTTCGAGCTGCCTACTAGCATATTTCTAGCCATGGTGGTCAACTGCATGCATGATCATTGATTTGGTGAGCATAGTTAGCAAGGCAATTAGATGCATGAACCGCGTATTGAAATACTATAATCGAACCGAACCGATGAATGTCCATTATGATGCAAATGCCCTCAACCTCAAAGCTAGGTAGGGGGAATCCAAATTCCCAAATTCTCTCTCTCTCTCTCTCTCTCTCTCTCTCTCTCTCTCTCTCTCTCTCTCTCTCTCTCTCTCTCTCTCTCTCTCTCTCTCTCTCTCTCTCTCTCTCTCTCTCTCTCTCTCTCTCTCTCTCTCTCTCTCTCTCTCTCGTTAATTCTTAGTTTGTTAGTTCAAACTCAACCGTAAGTAAGTTGTCGGGCGGATAACAATTACATTCATTTTTTTTCATCATATCGGAGGTTATGCTCTATTTGGTTCTTTTTTTTATGGATTATATTTTTTATATTATCGCATTTCATTTCTCTATCAATAGTGAAAAACGGTATTTACCGGTACAAAACGGTGGAACCACGGTCGTACCGCAAAATACCATACCAGAAAGAAATTCGGTGTGATGTCCGGTACGGTTTCCTTTACCATGCTTCATACCCTAGGATGAGACACAAGATTCCTTAAAAAAAACATAAAGGAATGTTAGAGAATCTTTGTTGAGAATCTACGATAAACATCGCATCAACTACTAACCTAGACATTTAGCAAATAAAGGTTGTCAATTTTTAGTAAAATAGTCAATTGGGATAAACATATTTATCCAACAATCAAGTATCTTTATCCAGTAATCTCAACTCTCAAAATTGGTTGCCAGTTCGTCCAAACTCGATAAACACGAATTGATATATGTTGTATAGATAATAAGTTAATGCAAATAATCAAATTAAATCCACCGATATTGTTCAAATGATAAGACATTTTAAATGCAGTTGAAATATGTGTGTATTGTAGACACTCTTTATCAAATATTAATATATAAGTGATAAAATCTTTGAAAATTACACATTCAACGACCATGTTAAGACCAAAATCCTCGATAGTGTGTGCGAGTGTCTTAGATTGAGATTCTAAGCCAACATATAAGCAATGACCACAGGTTGAACTTCAAAAATTCACAATTGATACATATTGTATAATATTCTAAATTTAAGTGTCTTGATAGAAAAAAACTAACATCCAAAATGGAAATGAGTCGAGATTATAGTATTTAATCATCACGAGGGCTACGGTGTGTGGCAAGTTTCAATATGGATGAATAAATTGATCCAATAATGAACTATCTTTACTAAGAATGTCTCACTGAAAAGTCCTAATCTTTACAACATTGGTCAAGAGTTCGTCCAAACTTGAGGATCATCAATGTGTATTGGATTTCCAAAGGACCTAAAATCTCAATCCCTTTCGGGGGCTAAATACCTATGATCACAACCATAGGTGTCAAAGAAGAATGAAAAGAAGCAAAAAAAAAAGAACATAACCTCCGATATGATGAAAAGAATAAAACCATATCGAGCGATGATCCTTTCATCCCTACTCTTTTATTATCCATAAAGGGGGGCGGCGGGAGAGGATAAGAAATAAATAGCATCATCTTAGAATTTTCCTCTTTATATATTACATATCAAACAATAGACAACCTCAATGGTTGTCTGATGTTATGGGGTAAAAGCGGGATCTCTATCCCGAGGGTGGGGGATAGGCGAGTAGCACTTCTATATATAATATCAAGGTATACTATCTTTTCATTTTACTCAAGATACGATAGAAGATAGGTATGACAAAGTATTTGCATAAATTAGAGATTAGAGAATTAGGGATTAGAGTTCACCTATTAGAGGTTAGGGTATAGTATCATGCCCCAAAAAACTCCGGAGTCTAAATAGTAAAACTCAATGGTCGTGTGGTAGTGTGTGTGTGGTTCAGGTTGACGTACGCTAAATATTAGGGTTTTGGTTGACAAATTTTGACATAAGTTATAAGTGGGACGTGACAGCGACATAGTTATTGGAAATTTTCAATATAGACATACTACAAACTCTTTTATGAATCAAGAACACAAAATATTTAGAAGATCCAAAATAATTTAAACATATAAATAAGTTAATTAATATAAATTATAAAATAAATCTCTCCGGCCAACGGGCCGGTTATAAAGCTAGTGATGATATAGTCAGTAAGTAGTAAGTAGCAGGGGGTTATAAGTAGAAGGGATGTGGAGTTTTATAAAGGTCACAAATAAGAAATAAAGTGGTAGTGGTGGTCATTGGGTTGTGTATGTCGATGTTCTTTCAATTTCTTAAAGTGTGCAATGTCATTTGTTTGTTTTCTTAGCGTGGATTGATGCATCAATCATGTTCATGATTGAGGAATTCATAAGATGGAACGAATTGAGTTGTACTGAAGTTTGCAACTTTCACTATTCGTCTATGTTGTTATTAGGTAAAAAAAAAATTTGTCTTGCCGAGGATATTTAGCCCTCTACTAAATATCAATTATATTTATATGCGGTTAAATTTGCAGAAAATATTATTGTAATAAATTAATGATAGTTGATAGTTCTATTTCTGGTTGGTTATGCTAGAACATTGCTAAGGTAAACTAAAATGGATAAGCAGAAGATTGATTATGTGGATGCTAATGAGATTTCTTGCTCTATCAAAATTACATTGATAACTTATATTGCATGATATTCATAGGATCTAAAATAATAATAAAAAATAGTAGACACAAAATAGTTTACATAAAATAATTTAATAAAATTAGCGTTTCATTAATAAATGGAAGATACAAAGGGTCTAACAATATCTTCTCCGAGTTTGCCTCTTGCCGGGCGTTCTTCATCAGCAGTTGATCTGTCTGTGCAGGGGCGTCTTTGTTCTGGATTGTGTTGTTCTGCTTGTTGTTCGTCGTTGACCCGAGCCTCTCTTGCGGCCCCGGGTTTGTTGCTTTGTTCTTTGCCTTGCTTTGGACCAGCACGGTTTGTTGTCTCATCCCAGGTCTAGCGTTGCTGGCGTGCTGCAGGGAGGGTCTGGCCCCTTCAGCAGCCTCTGGTTTGTCGTTGCTTTGCTGCGTCGTTGGGTTCAAGTTTGTTTGACCCATCTTTCTTTCTTTCTTTCTTTATGTTGTGTTTTGTTTCCTTCCTTGTACCTCTCTTAGTTTAATAATATCATCACCATTATAAAAAAAAAACAATATCTTCTTATAAAATAAGGTAAAGGAGATTGAAATTTTCATGTATAATAGTGTAACATACATGAATCATAAAAAATAAAATAATACAATAAAAAATAAATCAATTTGCACCGCCCAACGGACGGGTAAAAAACTAGTGTCCATTATGATGCAAATGCCCTCAACCTCAAAGCTAGGTAGGGGGGAATCCAAATTCCCAAATACTCTCTCTCTCTCTCTCTCTCTCTCTCTCTCTCTCTCTCTCAAGCTAGTTAATTCTTAGTTTGTTAGTTCAAACTCAACCGTAAGTAAGTTGTCGGGCGGATAACAATTACATACTTTGAGTTTCAATCACCACTATATTCAATTAATTAAAAGCGCAAGGGAACGTACTGTTCCTCACGAATTTCTCGCCCCGTGAGTCTGTAGTTACTGTTCACCGGGGGGATTTTTTGTATGAGCCGGATGCATTATATATCTACGTTTGCCTATTTTCCTGGTAACTAATAGTTAGTTCACCAGGAGATTATTGTTATGCGTCATTATATAATTATCATGCCCAATTTCCTTTCTTGCCTAATTTCCTGGTACAAATATATCATGCAAAACATATGGATGAATAGTTATTTGTAATGTATTGTGGTATCATGTACTGAATTGTTATTTCGAATGAAAATTTCTTTATTACTGCTAAATATTTCACCATATAATCAATTTGTATTACATTAAAGTGACACATTTATAAATTAAAAAAATACACAAGCATTTTGTAATATATGTTTGAATGAAAATTGCTTTGATATTATATTAAATTTTGACCATCTCATCAATTTGTATTACACATAAGTTGTTTAATCAAATGCCATGCTTTACGTAACTTAATTCATATATTATCAACTAAAATTCCTTCATTATTAACTAACATATGCATCATGTCATCGATTTCCATTACACAAACGTCTAATAAGGTGAATGAACTTTTACATAACAATTTAATCAAGTGTGATATTTTTTATAACTTGATTTTATTATTAGACCACACATTACGAAAGATTTACGTAACAACTTTGTATAACAGTAACATAAATTATATGCCTTACGTAAAATTTATGGAGAAATAGTTATTTCTTAGGTATAGAGTATATAAGTATTCTCTAATTATTAAGACACCAAATAAAACTTATTGAACTCATCATAATGAACTAGATGAAGTTTGAAATATAATGAATTCCTCATCGCTGCGAAGTGCGGGCCATAAAACTAGTATATATTATTATGCGACCTAATTGAGTTAGTTATATTTGATTTGATTAGGTGTAGTAGAGTAGAGTAATAGAGCATCGAATTCTTTCTATACATTAACTGTATCACTTTTCGTCGTTTAGCGGATTCCAAACATTCCCATTCACCTACTGATCTCTGGCTTCCCCAAATCCAGCGAGCGGCCATCCTTCCCTCCCCTTACCGTCGTCCGTACCTGCAGATCTGCAACTTCCGAGACATGCTATCCTTCTTTCCCTTTTCATAATTCTCGGGTCGCTATTGTTGCTCGCACACGGACACGGGACCGCTACCTAACCCTCTTCCAATCACGCAACCGGCCATGAATCCTACTTGCTCTGCCGAGCTTGATTGTGGTCCTCCCAAATCCAGCTTGCTTGGTTTCGTCGTGCTCGCACAACTCAATTCTTTGTTTGGCCTATTTTGTTTACGCCTTCTCTCCCTCCTCCGTCTAAGTTCTCAGCCCCGCCTCTCTTTCCAGTCTATACGACCGCCGAAGCCAGTGAGCTAATTTCGGGTTCATTTTCCCCAAACCATTTTCTTCGCTTTCATCCTCTCAATTCCTTATCCTTCTTCCGTTCTTCTTCATTTTGCCTTTTCCTTCCATCCCCTAACAAAAGCATGATACCAAGACAGATGCGATGACAATCATGAATGCTTTCTTGAAATGTTCTGGCTTTTGGGAGGAGCTTCGGGTCAATGAAGGATCCCTACCTGCCGCCGTATTTGCAATGAAATTTGGTTTGGGATATCTGTAACGCTCTGGATCTTCTTCCCCGATTCTGCAACTGCTTCTTCCCTCTCCTTCCCTTTTGGGTTTATTTCTCCGAAAGCAGTAGGACGGGACGCTCATGCATCTGTTTCTTCCCTCTGGATCTTCTACTCATCTGTTTGTGGGTTGTGGACGATTTCTTCTTAAATCCGTTAGATTGATGGGCCATGAGTTTTAACTACTTGTTTGCGTGGATACATGTGGGTGTACTGGAAAAAGTTTCAAGCTTTGATTTTATCTTTCTTCTTGGGCAAGGTAGGAGGAGAAGAGGCACAATGCACTAAAACTAAAAGCCTTATCATGAGCTATGGCATGATATTTTGGGAGCTTATGAGACTGGTCATATCTTGCAGACCTAAAATAGGGAGTTATAAATCAGGTAGGAATTTCTACGTCTTCCGCTCTCCGTAGAATTGTTGGACTATTAGTTGGCCTTGATAATTCTTTTGTTGGCTTGATTTTCTTTTCAGGTGCTGCTGTCTTTGGTGTTGTTGCCGAGTGCTTCAGCGATTCACCTGGTGTTTTATCGTTCTTTTGTTCAAGTTTTTGGTTTATTTTTATACACCACCAAGCGTGGATGGACATAGCTCAATTGGGTATTGCTACTCCGATAAGCTACTATTATTTGCGTTCTCCATGTTCTCAATGCTCAATTTCTTTTCCTTACTACTTCCTGAAGAGCTCCAAAGAACTAATTTGCATATTCAGCGGGAAATTGTCGTGACTGGTGGTTGAGGTTGGGATTGACACACCTAGATTGAACCTTGAAATATTTGCTTACAAGTTCTGTATTTCCTCTCGCAAAGTTCTCTGTCTCTGTTTCTCTTTGTTTATCATTCACAATTGTTTGTCTTTTGTAACAAAAAATTTACATGGATTGAAGACCAAGCATCATCGTTGCTGAAGAGTATGATCACTGATCTCTCTATTCTATTATTGTCATTGCTGAAAGCGTCACGCGACGTAGCCAGCCGCGGGTATTGATACTAGTCTGGATAAAAGTGAAGAGCATTGTCTGCCACACCAAATAGATATCTCTAAATTAAATTCTAAAGGAGTAAAACAAATGGAAGATTTATCATCTCCATTCCTCCAACACATACATATGGATATGGACCATATGGTAGTGTGTGTGTGTATTCAGCAAGTTAAAGATATTAGAGAGGTGGGGGGAAAAATCAAAAGAAGAGAAAGACACGTACAAAATGCAACGCCAATAGTTGGTCTGTATTTTTTGTTTTGCTTTTGTTTGTGGATGTGGATGTGGAGGCTAGGTATCTAGATAGAGATGAGGATGGAGCACATCAAAGGATTTGTTGAATTGCTGCAGCGCTAGTGTACGTGGTTGTTGTTTTGGTGGTGGGTTCTGGTATTGGATGTTGAGGATCGGAAAAGGTGAGATTTGAGGTTGGTGACATGTGACAATTGAAGCGGCTTGAGGAACAAGTCTTGAGCTCCTTGTTGAAGGCAGGTGTTGATTCTGGAGGGTACATTCTGGGAAGACATGATGACGACGGGAGTGTCCTTGAAAGACTCGGATTCCTTGATTCTTCTGAGGAGGTCGTAGCCGCTCATTCCGGGCATACAGTAATCGGTAATGATCAAACTAATGTCATCCTGAGCAGCACTCTCGATGCTGTAGTTGTTGTGGTTCAGCCCAAGAAACTCCAGTGCCTTGCTCCCAGAATCAACTGCTGTCACTGTCAAAAAACACTATTGGTCAGTCAGTTTTTCATCCATCATTATATTAGTAGGTTTAGAAATTGGAGGGGGGAAAGGTGTGCGTACCATGGTAGGAGGAGGTCTTGAGGAGCCTCTCAATCAACTTTCTGTCGATGATACTGTCATCAATAGCAAGAACATGGAACTGGTGGTCGTGAGCAAGATGACGAGCTTCGACGACAGCCATACCCATTCTCATGAAACAGAGTTGTAGCAGCAGCAGGAATAACAAGTTGATTAATATATGAATCTGGCTCGCTGGGAGGGGAGATCAGGACAGTTTGGAAAGGGAAGATTTGCCACGATTTGCCATCTCTCTGCTCCACGGATTTTCTCTCTTATTTATTTATATTTGGTTTGAATTGGACAACTAGCTAGCAAAGAGAAGATTGTGGTGGAGGTGGCGGTGGGATGTTCCCTTCCTTTTCCTTTCTCCTCTTCTGTCTTTCTTTACCTTTTCTTTTCTCTTTTCCCTTTCATCATTTTTAATAATTTGATTTCATGATTAGTTTAGTAGTAGTGGGTGGGGGTGACCAGACCACCTTGCTTTTGTTGGTTTTCTCCATTTCCATACATCCACATGATTTGATTTGATTCCCTCTCCTCTCTCTCTCCCTTTCAAGGCCTCTTTGACCTTTGGATCATAGATTAAGCCAAATTTGGTTCATTTCCATGTCAATTGCTTTTAGAGTTCCAAAAGGATGTGATTTGTTTGTTTGGTTACTCTCTGGACCTATTTATACTTAATATTTAGGATAGTTTGGAAGTTGCGATAGTTTTGTTGAGATTGTCATTATGCATTTTTTTTTGTTTTTTTAGCAGAAACAATACATAGATTGTTTCTGTGATGTGACAGAAACTATCACTCATTTTGAGTGATTGTTATATCTCCATTTTTTGTTGTGATTGTTGAGATAGTTGAGTTGAGATTGTTTTGTCTTAGCTTTTAGCTGATGCGACATACACAATCACACATACCAAATGTTGTTTCTACAATGCATCAAATTCGACAATACATGTATAATATTATACATGCATTCTCAACAATACATCTATTTAACAATCGCAACTTCCAAACGACCCCTTAGTTTACTTTTTCAAATAACAAACTAACAACAACTGTTTAGTTTCTTATATCCAAAAATTTAAAGTGGAATATACATCTGAGTTTTGAGGAATTTTACAATGCTATATAGTATTGATGTTATAGGTTATTGCTTTTATGGTACAACTTGAAATTGTACATTTAATGTTATGATACAACTTTAGATTGTACCTATACTGTTTGTACAAATTCTTTTATAGTACAACTTGAACTTGTACCTTTATGTGATGGTACAACTTCAAGTTGTAAAGTTGTACCATAACATAATGGTACAAATTTTTTTATGGTACAATCTAAACTTATACATTTCATGTTATGATACAAGTTTAATGAATCGTTTGCTTCATGGATTTGAATCATGGATTTGGTACCCAAATCCAATCCATCATGGATTTAACAAAAATCCATCGTTTGCTTGCACTTTTTTTGGAGACCAAATCCGTGGGGCCCATGGATTTTAAGGGTCCAAATCCGTGGACCCCACGGACTTATAAATCCCACATGTTGATGTGGGATTTGGAACATGACATAAATCCTTGATGGGATTTTATCTATATACCCTCATGCACTTTTAATATTCCAAGGTTGTCCTCAAATTTAACCATTGCACATTATAATTAATCAAGTAATTAACAATAAATGAATAATATAAACATTCAATTAATGTGCAAACATGAGTTAGATTTTTTATATCATTTCTTGTGTTCTAGTTTTCTTTGACATTTTCACGGAACGTGTAACTCTTTGTTCTCCCGATTCTAATATATGTTGTTATATGTTACTTTTGAAAAGGAGGACAAAGAATTGGTAATTGATTATGTTACGTTAAAAGTTAAACGAAGTTTTCTCGTTTATTATTATTGTCCATGTGGCAACATTATGCTTATTAGTATATATTGTCCTTGTTTTGTGTACATATCATAAACATGTCAAACATATAGAAAATGATAGTAAGGTAATTTTGAAGTTTTGTCCTTGTTTTGTGTACATATCATAAACATGTCAAACATATAGACAAGGATAGTAATGTAATTTTGGACTTCAAGTAGTAAATCCCACACCTTTAAATCCATGATAAAAACATATCAACAAACAAAGGATTGTTACAAATCCATGATGCCTCAAATCCTTGATAAATCCTTGGGTTTTTAAATTACAAAACCCTCGTTTTTAAATCCATGAAGCAAACGAACCCTAAGTTGTACATTAAAGCACCAATACTATATAACATAGTAGAAATACTCCTGAGTTTTCCATTACTTCATTTATTCATACAGATAAAGATCACTTCAAAATTTTACTAACCAAAAAAATTGAGTGTTGTTTCCTCTCCTCCTGACAAATACAAAATTTCTAGTGTTGTAATAAAAAGATTGTAGGTAGAGAAGATTTTATTTGGAGAGGGTGTGGGAAGGAGAGGGGAATGGAATGGAACCTCGTAAATTAAGGACCAAATCTCTTGTTGATGTGAAAGCAGATTCTTTTTTCTTTGTATGTATCCAAGTCATAAGTTTGATTTTTCAATTATTGTTCACATACACGATTATTTTAGCGATATGACTTCTCTTACACTCTGTTCTTAAAGGGCAGAAAAGGGGGGAAAGGAAAGTTAACGAGGGAAAGTTGGAATTTCGACACACTTTCCCCCGTTTCCGAAATTTCGCACAGTGTCAAAAGGGAGGGAAAAGGGAGGATTGGTCACTGTTCAACTCAACCCTCCAAATTGGAGAGAAAAGAAGAGAAACCATTTTGGACACTTTTTAATTGATTCTTTATTGGGCTCTCCTCTCTCCTCTTTCCTTTTTCCTCTCTCATCTCGTTTTCTTTATCCCACCACAAGGAAGAACAACTGGAACCAAGAAAGAAAGAAAAAACAGAGCACTTTTGCTTGATCTTAGCCAATCTGTCCTTCCATCGGCCAAAAAACCAATCTCCCAAATTAGATTGATGCGTTGACCTTCATCTTCGATCTACTTCCCAATTCTCCATCTACCCAAAACCAGGACCTCAAAACACGAACAAAAGTTCAATTAAAAACAACATAAACACACCCAAAAGGAAAATGCATGTCATGATCTGACCTGGATTGAGACTCTTCCGATTTCTATCATGTAGGCGATGAGGACAGCAGCGAGCCTTCTCCTGTCTTCTTCCTGTCCGAAACCTCACCTAAAATCCAAAAATCCAAATCGAAATCTACAAATCAAAGATTGCTACATGCAAGCTCATTTACCTCCATAGACCAGACCGTCGTCGTCGTCGCCGGGTCTCATGGCCGGCGGTGAAAGAAGAAAGAAAAAAGAGGCAATCAGCTTCCCTCTGTTTTTCAGAAAATAGTACGTGTAGAGGAGAGGGACACACGTAGATCTTGGATAAGAGGGGAAAACTTGATTTCATATTTCTTTTTCCTGGAGATGTTAATTGAGAAAAGAAGAATAAAGATTTTCTTTGAGAAGAGGGTGGGTTTAGATCGATTTTTTAGGGGACAAAGAAGATGGGAGCATTTTGATGAGAGGTAAAAGACGAGAGAAGGGAGAGAGAAGAGTAGTGGGTTTGGGTTTTTATTTTCTTTCCTTAATTTCTTTTTATGGTTAAATGGTTTTGATTAATTAAAATATTAAATTAATACTTAAGTAGGATTTTTATTAATTTGGTGTTTAGTGATTTGAGTGTAACTAATTTTTAATTGATTCAAATGGGTAAATTTCAAATGATCTATTTTCATACGTCTTAAAACTGTATCTTACCGACAGTTCGACTGAAAAAATCTCCTATTGTAGTCTAAATCGATAAGTGGTTTAAATAATATAAAACAAATAAGCTTTGGTTACAATTTCGGACCAAAAATATCCTACCAAACCAGATAGATGATTTACCTCATATGTAACGTTGTTTTGCACGATACATAACAATGTTGTATGAGATATAAAAATTTGTTACGCTCCTCTTACAATAATATACTTATTCACAATTTATCATAATTCAACATATAATCAAATTATCTTATTATTATATAACAAATAAAATAACATACTCATCACATTTCCCAAAATACATTTTCCCTCCCACTTTTCCTCCACAAAACAACATTTTCCCTTCTTTCTAAATCTCCCCTCCCCTCCTTTTCTCTCCCTTCCAAATTTTCCTTTCCTTCCATTTTCCTCCCCTCCTTCGGAAACATAGTGTTAAGCAATACTTTACCATCATATCATATAATATATTAACGGAATCATTTAGATACATAAATATAATTTTTTAATAATGACAAATATGAACATTTTGTCCATGAAATTTGTTAAATTTAACAACACTATCAACGGCACTGACTGGACAGACGAAATAGAGTGACGTGAAGTTTTTTAGTGTTCACTTGCTAGCTAGAAATTTTGATATTTTTATTCTAATTAACTTAAATAAATTATTAAATACATTAAAAAGAAAGAAAAAAAGAATATTCCTAAAGAAAAAAATGGAAAGATGTGATGAGCAAACCAATGGGCACGAGACATATCCTTCCAACACATTTTCTCTAGGCTTGGCAACGGGGCGGATCAGGGCCGGGGCAGGCCCATCCGTCACCCGCCCGAAAATATATCGGGTTTTCCCCGAATCCGCCCCGTTAGCATTAGCGGGCTTTATTTTTAGGCCCACCCCCGAAACCAACGGGTAACGGGTTAGAACCCGTTATACCGCGTTTACCCTACACAAATCAAATCTGCTGAATCCAACAAAAAAGCAGAGACACTACAGTCAAATTGAAACCAAAAAACTGCATAAATTGCAGATGAAATCCACCAACTTGCAAAATCCAGCAACCAGACATCAATAATTCATCATCCAAACAAAAGAAAACATGTTCGAAATTGGATTCCAACATCCATAAAGGCATATAGCCATAAACCAAACGAAATAAAACAAGTTCCAAATTGAACCAAACAACAAAAAAGAGCCGCAGTAGTTCTCTTCACCCTTCAGTCTTATCGAGCAGCACCATCATCAAGCAATCAGTCAGCAAACAAAATCCAGCAGCCCAGCACAACAATCATCAGCAGCACACTTCAATCTTCAATGTCCAAAAGTGTACGACTCTGGCTATTTAACTAATAACTTAACTACTAACTGAAGATAATTGTTCATAATAATAAAACAG